TCATGATAGCAGATCCTCTTACTAAGGGATTGCCACCCAAGGTCTTTCATGAGCACACAGCTCATATGTGTGTGGTGGTATTAGAGGATATCATGATTTAGTGGGAGTTTGTAATTATGGTGTTTTATGTTAGGTTGTATTGTCTGATCAGAATAAAGTTTTTCAGTTCAAACATTCTGTTACATTATGTTTGGTTTTGACCTCACTAAAGTAGGACCAGTTGAAAATAGACATGTACTGTGACCTCACTAAAGTAGGACCAGTTGAAAATAGACATGTACTGATCACATTACATGTAATTTTCATGCTGCACATCCATGATTGATCTATGTCGTTTGATTGTATTGGTATATGTGACCATTGATGGGTCGAGTCACGATAAATATGACGAAGTCCACTTTGATCCTATATTGATATAGTCAATGGACGAGATTGTTCGAAAATACCTTTTTTAGTGATAGCAATTTTGAGATTATAAGGTTATACACACTTTAAGGAGTCATATGATGCCCAAGTGGGAGATTGTTGGATTTAAATCTAATTAAATCTATTTGTGGGTACATATGATTAATCTGTGTGTATTGCTATCCTTCAGGATAACCCACTAAAGTGATCAATTAATTTGGGTTAATGGGTATTTAAATAAGTCATGGGGTTATATGTGCAGATACCAGGTTGTAATTGTAATTTGATGAGGGGTCAAATTATAAATGTACAACACCTATAAATAAGGGGTTATGGTCCCTAATCTAGGGTTACATTCTCTAATTCTCTTCACCCCTATCTAGAGAGAAATTTGGCTAGAGAAACTCTAAGGTTAGAAGATCTAAAACACATCTCAACTTTAATCTATGGATTCAGGTATAAGCTTCCGCTCTTTTATTTTGATTCTTGTAAATCTCTTTGAATCAATCATGGCTTTATGGTTAAGATCTCAAGTTTTTATAAGATCTAACAGTAAATTCATACGCAAAATTCTTTTGCGAATTGAATGATCACCCATCTTTTGAAAACTTCAAGATACTAATAAATAGAGACGTTGTACTAAATTAATGTGTTTATAACTCACAAATAGTAGATCATATAGCCGCAGTTTGGGTTGAGGGAAACAGTGATAATATTTTATTTGAGAGAGAGATTATTGAGTTGATGATCAATCCAAAAAAAAAAACTATTTTCTTTTTTTATTTTTACTTTATTTTTATCAATTTAAATAATCATGATATTCAACCACGTGCATTACACGTGCATCTCAACTCATGATATTCAACCACGTGCATTGCATGTGCATCTCAACTAGTTTATTAAAAAAATCTAAGAAAATCTAACAAAACCATTAGTTCATTTATAGACGACTAAAGCATTTCTTCACATTTTGTATTGTACGCGCATCACATGCAACCAGATATTAGAATAATTATTAAGTTATAAACTTACAAATCTTTATGGTTAGTTTCTATGAGGTTTTAGATATTATCATAAATCATTAGATTAAGTAACTCATTATTTAACCATCAATTTTCAGCTTCTTGACGCATCGACAAGAAAGCAAAACACCTGCATATTTACTTGTGGGACCCCTCTTGAATTAGTCTTTTCTGAGTTTGTTTTTTTTTCTTTTTATGGAGGAAAGTTATTGTATCGAAGAAAGGTACATCTCTTTGAGGATTGGCAATCACAATAATTGATTAATTTCCGTGATCCCTCTAACTTAGAAGGATTAACTATTGCAATGTCACATAAACCTCTCAAATTTACAGGCAGCCAAACATGCCCTAATAATAAAGGACTATCATGATTATATTATACTAGGTGGAATGCACGTGCAATGCACATGGTCAAATATTATAATTGTTGATTTTTAGTTTATGTATTTACTATGACATAGTTACAAAAAGTTTATTATTATCATAATATATTAAAAAGTTTCAGATATTTCAATATATAAAATCTTGTTGGTTTCAACACTTTACCTTCCACATAATTAGTGAGGTTTAAAATCTTAAAATATTAATGATCTAAGAGCAATTTAATAATTTGGAATTCTAATTTTAAAATATTAATGATGTAAGCACCAATATCTAAAAAACTATTATTATATTGTATTTTAACAAAATAATATAGATCTATCCAATATTGAATAATATCCAAAAATTTAAGCTAAAGAGTTAAAAGAATCTAATAACACTCATATCCAAACTGTATGCTTCATAAATGTGAGACATATAAAATGAATAACTTAATTTATTTTGTTAAATAATTTATTACAAATCATAAAAGATAAGGAGAACCATAAGGATCACACAGTCATCCTAAATAAAGATTAAATATCTCTCTGTGAATTTTGTAGCAAAAATTTTTTAGAGATACTGATAGACTTGCTATAAAATCCACTTTTATAAGATTGATGTCACATGTGTCTTAAATTGTGCTTTGTTTAAGGGTTAATTTTAGAAAACTTCCCCTCAACCCCCCTGCCTCCACTACTTGAAATGAGTAAATATTTGTTTATCAAATTTGGGGTGCTATAGTTAATCTATCTCAACTTCAAAATTTTGATTTAACCTTATAAACTTTTCTCAATTAACCCCTCAAACTAATATCATTGAGCGAAATTCATTATGTGATAAATACTTAACTTGAAAAGACCAAAATATCCCTCAACCATAAAAGAATTAGCTTGATTTTTTGCTAGATGAAAGAAAAAGTGAAGATTTAGAGGTAAAAAGAATTGTAAACTAGTTGTAATCCTTTTATTATCGGTTGAGAGTTTCTTTTAACTAAAATGGATTTCTTTAATAGAGCATTTTGACAAAATCACTTATTAAAGTCTTTTACATTAAGGGGATTTGTTAAGAGATGTGTAAAAGACCAGGAGAGTTTTTATAAGACACGCTAAGTCAAAGAGTGTTTTCTAAAATCGCATCAAAGTTGAGAATATTTATCTGCAACACCTCTATAGTTAGGAGACTCTGTCAAATTAAATTAGTTAAGTGGTTTTTTGAGACATTCCCCATACTTGAGAGAGTTTTTAAAGAATTAACTATTCTTTTAAATTTAGCTCAAATATTTTATAATTCTATATTATTACCTAAATTATAAGCAATTTTAAAATTTTAAGGGAATAATGTAGAATTGTTGGAGATTTAAAATCAATGAAATGATATCTAAATTACCTTTAAATATTACTTTTATAGGCAATATATGAAATATTGGCCGATATATCGCTCTATCGACTGATATAAAAGGTTAAATACTTTATCTTAATAATATTTATGGTTTTATATTATTTTATTTTATTTGGATTTTTTTTCTCATATATCAATCATTATCGAAAATATTGGCTGGTATAACAAAATCGAGTCATTTTTAATTTGATTGTAAGCTTGGTATTATGTTGTGTTTGGAAACCAAAACTAAAGCACAAGTCACAAAAGCCACAATTCATATCCCAATCTCTCTACTCTCAGCTCTCCCAAATCTCAAGCACATATATTAACACAAATTCTTATGTTGAAAATTCATCAATATCTGAGATTATAGATTAAAATGTTGTATTATGTATGAGCATTATCTCATATGATACCCAGATATTTTTTACATAACCCCGATTATTACAATCCAATATCATGGATTTTATTTGTCCAGCATTTATATGATGCCCAACACTTTATAGTAGTCCTCCGAAAGCCTCTTCTAAAGTTTTCTAAGTAAAGTATATAAATTCAGAAATAATTCAAAATTTTAAGATTATTCAAAACATGATGCTTTAATTTCTTCACATTTCCTCTAGTTTATAAATATAAGCTAACCCTTTGGCCTCATATTATATAATGAATATTATTTATCAAAGCGATCTCATACTATCAATATCTGAGATTATAGATTAAAATGTTGTGTTATATATGAGCATTATCTCATATGACACCCAGATATTTTTTACATAAGCCCAATTATTACAATCCAATATCATGTATTTTATTTGTCCAGCATTTATATGATGCCCAACACTTTGTAGTAGTCATCCGAAAGCCTCTTCTAAAGTTTTCTAAGCAAAGTATATAAATTCAGAAATAATTCAAAATCTTAAGATTAAAGTTTTCTAAGCAAAGTATATAAATTCAGAAATAATTCAAAATCTTAAGATTATTCAAAATATGATGTTTTAATTTTCAAGCAAAGTATATAAATTCAGAAATAATTCAAAATCTTAAGATTATTCAAAATATGATGTTTTAATTTTCCCATATTTCCTCTAGTATATAAATATAAGCTAACCATTTTGCCTCATATTATATGATGAATATTATTTATCAAAGGGATCCCATACTATTACTTGTGGTTAACAAAGGCTTTAAATCTTTATTGGCTTAATTAAATTATATACCTTACAGTTTATAAAAGTTTCAATTACATACCTCCATTTGTATCTTGCTGCACTTAAATATCCTAATGTTTTTAAATTTGCATGTTTGTACCTTTTATACGCAAGAATACTATTTGTAATTTTCCTATATCTATTACCCTTTAAAAGAGGGAGTTCATGAAAAACTTTACACTCCCCAAAATAACCTTCCACCAAAGTTAGTTACCAAACGTATCCTCAATTGATAAGCCACTTTACTCTTTTTCATCGGTTACGACCCCAACCCCTCATCTCTCTCGATCTATCTTGGCCTCTCCTTCGCCGTCTTCTTAGGCTTCCTCCCCAAATCCTCCATCCCCTACCTCTCCTCTCTCCAATCCCGCAACCGAATCCTCAGCCTCAAGCTCTTCCAGGCTAAGGACCAGCTAAAAACCCTAAGGTCGAGGAGGAAGGGGGATTCCAAGGCCAACGCCCGCGTCGTCGAGATCTTCGCTAGCCACCGCCACGCGTGGCAGCAGGAGGAGCGGCGGCTTTTGGATCAGATCGAGTCGACCAACGAGGAGATCGAGGGGTTGAGGGGGAGGGTCGGGGAGCTCAAGAGAGAGGTGAGGGAGAGGGACGAGATGTGGATCTCATGGCGGCGAGGAGAGAGGAAGAGGAGGAGCACGAGGAGGTTAGGGTTACGGTTTCGGAGGGGTTAGGGTTTGGGGAGATGAACGAGATGGCGACTGGTTATTACGCAGGGGAGAAGGAGAGGGATTCGAAACGATGGGTGGAGAGAGCTGCCAGCGAGCGGTAGCAGGTAAATAATTTTTCCCTTCACTTTTCCTTTTTTAAGCAATTTATCAATTTTGTTTGTTTTAGAAATTCAGGTATCCTTTATGGGAAAAGAGCTATTAGGAATTTTTGTTATCCTTTTTTTTCTCGTAAATTTTGATTTTATTTTGAAAATTCTTAGTCTGTGCGACATCTTTCTTAATTCTTAGAATTCAAATAAAAGTAGGTATGATGTTTTGATATGTGATTAATTTCATTATGAAATTTTTTGTATTTTGAAATTAAGCATAACACCAACGTAATTGTTTTCTCTGAGGCAATTTAGGTTCTATGCATTGGAATTTAGTTTATTTTCTTGCACTGCAATTAGTTTTTACGACAATTGATATTTTTCTAATTTTTTCAGTTTTTATGCATTATTTACAGGATTAAGGATTTGAAGGTTGCTGAATCTCCCATCTATCAAGGTAAATATTAATGTTTGATATAAAATTAATTTGGTTTGTTGGATTATATATATATTTTGATTGAATTGAAATAGAAAATAGAAACTTTTTCTTTTGCTATGCATGCTTTTATTTAGTTTAAGTAAATGTTAAATGCTTAACTTTCAATTCAAAACAAACCTAATTAGCATCCTCAAGGCATCATCATTTACTACTTGGGTGTTGGATGGTTTATTCTTAGGCTTGAATTAAAAATCAATAATAGTTTAATTGTCAATATAGTTTATAGTTCTTATTGAAGAATTATATTGTATTGCTTTTCTTTAAAAACTTATGTTGTGGTGATTAAGTATATAGATCAATGATAATCTACTTCATTTATATGTTTTTTCATGCTTTGTGATATAAACCTTTATAGTTTGTTACATGCATGATGTTATGGGTTGCCAATTGCATATATATCATTGTTCACATATGTGATTTTTCTATAAAATACGAAGCATATGCTATCTTCAAGGCTCTCTGTTCAAACCAAGCTTTATGTTAACAAGTATCCGTTATTAATTAATAGTGTTCTTTTATTCACTACGGAAGCTTTTTGCTTCCAATGATTTAATATTTTTACAATCTGATCAAATATGCATGTGGTGCAAAAAATTCCATTGAATTTTCACGTTTATAACTTTTCAATTCGATTGATGTGTACTACTTACTTATGATGGTAGTCCAAAATATCTTCAATTATTCCTTCACATTAATTTGTACCATGCTAAATGTTCATCTTCAAAGCAAGACACCTAATGACATGTTATAGTGAAGGCAACTTTAGAATTATCATAAAAATGAATTAATCTTCAAGAGTTAAGACTTATAGGGTAAGTGTATTCTCCAGGCCAATACATTATCAAAAGGAATAGACCAAAACATAATAATTATGAAAAGTTGTACATTAGATCCACATTTCCCCCCTTTCTTGGCTAATATGATTTATATTTGACAGGCCAAGAAAGAAGTCAATGATAAAGTCCTGGAGCTGGAGCAGAAGTATAATAAGATCTGTGGGCTTGTGTACAGCTAAAGGAATGAGGTTATTCAATTTATTCCAGAGATTTAGTTAATTGTACGTTTATAGACAAAGGTATTTGATTCATGGGTCTTGCCTTTTCTAAGACCTTTATCCAATTTCTATTTTTCTCTTTTCAGTTATTGTTTACTTTGACCACTTGCCTATCTGCAAAATTAGCAAAAGGTAAAGATTTTTTTTATTGCTACTTTCATTTCTGGATATTTTGGGGGCTTATTGGTAATTGTATTGATAGCTCTTATTGCTTATGGTCCTTTTGATCATTTAGGTGCTTATTCAGCTTTTGGGAAGGCTAAATTCTTTGTCATAGTTTGGATTCCGCAAGCTTTAGTGCTATAAATTTTGTAGATAAGTATTATTAATGAGTTTGAATAAATGGATGCGCCTAATAGGCCTTAACGTGCTTATAAAACGAGAAACCTAATGTTTCCTCTTTTTCGAGACTTTTTAATGACTGAGTATACATGGATAAATATTAACTATTCATATGAAGATAACAGGAAGCAGTTTGGAAATTGGTGTAATCTGTGTGTTTTAGTTATGCTCATAAGCTTTTCTTTTGTCTTGTCTTGACAGTTTCATGTTATTTTGGGTTTCAGATTTTTGTTTGATCAATGAAAGCTAGCCGTCCATTTCATCTTCTTAGCGGTCATGGAGGACTTTCTCATGCTTTGATGTTTTTTCCTATAAGTGTAAGTCAACTCCCTTTCTTTCTTTGTGGTTCATGTTCCTCTGCCAGATGACAAGGAGATTGAGAGGATGGTGTTGGAGAAGAAGAAAATGGAGTTGTTGAACAAGTATACAAGTGATATGTTGATAGAGGAACAAAGTGAGGCTAAGGACATGCTTAACATCAAGAGGTAATTGTCATTTATATCTTAAATGAGATTACATTTCCCTGTACATTTTCTTTAGTTTAGTAACCCCCCTACCCTCCCACCCCCTCCCATTTTTGCTATCTGTAGAAGCTGACATCCATGGTTTCATAAAATGATTAAGTTGAAGTACACACAAATTGACATTACATACCTAATTTAACTTTTGAATCTACTTCAAGGAATGGAAGTAGATATGTTGCGTCAAATGTTGTACTTTTTAACCCCTACAAATGAAAATTCAACTATCATTCTCAACTATCATATCTTCAACTATCATTCTCAACTATCATATCTTTAACCAAACATTGGAAATATGAGTCAAATGTTGTACTTTTTAAATCCCCAAATTTTCTCGAATTTTTTCAATTATCCGTCAGTAATTTGATTATTTCTTTGCTTGGATGTTTGTAGTCATAGAAGTAATCACGTTGGATATGCACTTCATCGTCTACAGTTTCCTCAGACTCCAACTAGGGAAAAGGTACGTTCTTCATTGTATTATGAATTACTTGGTTTTGGGGTTTTATTTTATTAGGACTAAACTATGTAGGACAATGGACGAGTTGAGTTCAAAGTGGCATCTTTTATATGAATAAGAGGAATTTTCATAGTAGGTGTTCTCTCTATTGAATAAATTTAATGTTTTGTAAAAGTTTATTTTTCTTTACTGGATGCTTATTTTTTTATTACTTTAGGAACAAGGCCGGCGCTTGTAAGGGACTATTATGATGTACTGGGAGTGAGTAAGAATGCAACTGCTTCAGAAATTAAGAAAGCTTATTATGAAGTAAGCTTCATGTCCCTTTGCTGTATTTCTCCCATGATTATTTTTGCTTTTTATGTATAATTTGTTGCAGAATTGAGTTATCATTTTTGGTTGACTTGTTTTATGTTGTTTTTATTCATCTTCTTAGATACATTGATGCATATAGTTTGATTTGCACTCTAAATTGTGTATTTTCGACGTTTAAACAATGATTATCTAACTAAAATCATGATTCATGAAGCGTCAAATATACATGTCAAGTGGAAAATAGAAATTTGTTATTGTATCGCTACCATTTTCTCAGGTTGTGATCTCATTTCTTTTAGGCTCATACAATGTCTTTGTTATGGGTTAGATTCCTATATGAAAACATGTTGTATTAGTAGACTTTGTTTTCCTTGGTCTTTTTACGTAAGTCATAAGTTAACTGTTGTTATTCGGAGCATTGCTACAGTAAAATTTTATGCAATAAGCTTTAACTCTATAACCTCTTACTATTATGCTATTGGTTTACATTTGTAAATTTTCATATTTCCGATAAATTTCTGAATCGAGAGATACTTGAACTTGATCTTATTACATTCATGACACTGTTAGCAATATTGATATAATCTATTGTGGTTGAATTTTTTGGAACTGTTTTACTACTGTCGTCGATTTTGACTTAGCCCGCACTTGTATTGCATTTCGTATTAAACTTTGGCCTTCATTTTCTGGTACTGATGAAGATTACACTGTTCTGGTTCAATCTCTAATCTACATTCATCTCAAAGGTATCATGCGGGAACATGACCAATAAATTGAGAGTGAGAAGCAGTGCAAAAGTAAAAGTTTGGGTTGTGGCAATAAATGATGCGGGACTACGACCACCGGGGGACTGGTGTATGCCTCACTGTTTTGGTTCTTTTGATCCTTCTAGGGGGTTAACAGAATATGACAGTCAGGTCCAGTGGTTTGTTGATGGACAAGCTGCATTTGCTTCAATTGCTTCTTCTATTGAAGTAGCAAAATCAGAGGTCGGTTTCTTCACTCATTCAATTCAATAATGTGAAACTAGCAATTTACAAAATATTGACAGGGACAGTTCTGAAATAATTGAAATTTGTTTATAGATATTCATTACTGTCTGGTGGCTCTGTCCTGAGTTATACCTTCGACGTCATTTTCACATTCATGCGTCTTCTCGGCTTGATTCCTTGCTAGAGGCAAAGGCTAAACATGGTGTTCACGTACTTTCAGCATTACCATGTGTTGTTTCACTTGTTCTATTTTAGTTTTAGTTATTTGGTTCATCAGATTCACTGAAATTACTGATGTCGTGACTATAGTAAAGTTTTCTTGCATTATCTTATTCACTTTGTAACAATATTATCGCCTGTAATAGAAATTGAAGTATGATGTTTGACATAGAAGCATGAATCATCTTTACATGTCAATGATAATATGTCATATTTTCCGTTAGCATCAAGAAGTTGAATTATTTGGTTCTAATTAATATGCTACATATATTTGTAAATTTTTTGTATAGTAGCTTATCCTAATTGCTCATGATTGTCAACTAATTTACACTAAGGTATAGATCTACATCCTTCTTTACAAAGAAGTTGCCATTGCTTTGAAAATCAACAGTATATACAGTAAGCAAAGGCTGCTTAACATTCATGAGAATGTTAAAGTTCTGCACTATCCTGATCATTTCTCAACTCGTGTTTACTTGTGGTATGAATTCTTCCACGAATCAATCATCCCTTCCCTAAGATTTATTTTTTATGAGAAGATAATACATCATGCAATTGTGCTTAGAACAAGACCTCAGCCACAGCTGGAGCCTCATCTGCTACTCAGGTGTCTTTCTTGTTTTTTGTTTATTATGATTATGATTTTTGTAATGTTTTCCGTATGTTATCATATTTCCCCCCTTATTTCATTATTGATCCATAATGATTTCCTATTGCTTCAAAGCAAGCCTGTGGCCACTGTAGCCTCGTCTGCAACCCAGGTACTCTTTCTTGCATAATTTTGTTTTTTTATCACTGCTACAGTTATGTTTTCGCCTTCTAATTTACTCCAATTCCTTATTGAAATAGCCTGCAAGAACTGCTTCTTCAGTGCCTCCCACTCCAAGTGAAGTTCCCACTCAAGTACCGTAAGTTCAACTTAATATTTTCTTTCCAATCTTTGGCATTACTTAACTGTCGAGCCAACATGAATTCTTTGAGAGAAACATTGCTGAGCTTAGCAATGACAGGATGCAGGATTGTTAAATGCTAATTGCTAATTATGTTTCTGTGGTATCTTAGTATTCATGATGCTCTTGTTGCAATTGTGCATCTTGACAAAATTGTGATTGTTGACAATCAAATATGCTATCTGGGAGGATTTGATTTGTGCTTTGGTCGTTATGATAACCCAGAACACAGAGTTGGTGATTTCCCACCTACTATTTGTCCTTGAAAGGACTATTATAATCCAAGGTAACTATGCTAATGTTTAATTTTTAATTTTTCAGATCAAGACATATTAGTTAACTTGTTTCTACAAAACTTAAGTTTGTGGGACAAATAATATGTAATCTTATTCTATGCCATCATATAATTCACACTCATACTTGTCATACTCAGATGATGCTTAATCATAGTGTGTGTGCATCGTCGCTAAATCTCAGATTACCATTTCTATACAGGTTAGTTCTTGTCTTGAATGGCAACAGATCTGAAGTGTCAAAGCATTGTGTACCCACAATTCCTACAAAGAGGTACATGCCAAATCTTATTCATTTATAAAAAAAAAGAGGCACGTCATATCATCCATAGCATTTATTATGACAATTAACAAACTTATTTCAAGCTGCAGGATATCTATCAACTTCTAAATTATGACAAGCTGCAATTCATGTTGTATTGCTCGATGCAAATACTGTCCATGTTGTAACATCAGGAACTGAGGCATCTATAAAAATAGACATTGTTGTTCTTGAGGGTGATTTCAACAATGAAGATGAAGATGGCTGGACAAAGGAATTTGAAAGCCATGTAGTCAAAGAACGAGAATGAAAGATGCCACTGTTGACTGTGGATTTGCAGGTAACACTTAAAGAAGGTTTTGATGTGATATTGTCATATGCAGATAGCGTGTTTCATTCCATTAAGGTGATAAAACTGCAAACTACCCTTGTAATTTCTCTTGCTTTTTTTTTACTAGCTTTCCTTCTGATTAAGAAGTTGAATATAAAAGAGTAGTCCCACAAGATCAAGTGCAAACCAAACAAAAGGAGTTGGAGATATGCTCTCATTAGCATTTTGTTTTGTAAATGTTTAAGGATATTTTTTCCATAAATTTTGCATGTGGGCTATCGTTTTATTTAAAAATGTTGTACTACTGTACGCTGAGGTATTTCGAGGGTAAAATTAATGAACATTTTTTGATTGCCCAGATTGCCTCACAATGTCTCCATTGAGCTACACTTCCTTATTTCTGGATTATCATTAAAAACATTTTAACATGTTTTTCTTATGGGGTATTAATGTTTCTTTGTCAATAGATAACTAATGCAAATCCATTTTACTAAAGAATAAGGTGATTTCATGTGATATATGTGAGATTGCTAAGAATTCAGTTTACCAATCTGGTTTTTCACATGATCTTAAAGTATATATTCAAATTGATTATATTAAAATTGAGGTAAATTATCTTGAAGGATATTACTTAACTCCAAATGTTGCAAGTGCATGTCGTTAGCAATGCATATATTAGAATCTGAAACTGTTTCTAGATGTGCGTGACTAATCAATAGCAAGCTTAGAACTGTTACATCAAAAATATACAAAGATGGTTATATGTTACTGATATACACCAAAGTAATGATTATTTTCTCAGAACAAAATTATGAATCTGTAATTAAGAATTAAGCAGCATGATCTAATTACTCAATTCTGCAAAATATAAAAACCATGGTATGTGATCAAATAGAATAATTTACCAATATACTTATTACTGCAGTATTCTTACAAATGTTTATGCATTAAAATATTACAAATTTCATGTTCTCCTAGGATTTAACTATAGTTTCTACCAAGCCAGGAGCATATATAAGCAGAAAATAATATCGAACTCCATTTAATTCCTCTCTGCTTTATGTATTGAAAACTTGCCTTGCGACTATTTTGCATCTTCATCAAATGTGTGGTCATTGCATGTGTTCTTATTTCAAAATGTTTTGACTTTGGATTTAGTTATAAAAAAATGCTCATAGTTCTTTGGGAGTCTTCTGTTATGTTTGTTACATTTGTTTATGTCATAGAATATATCATGTTTCAATTTTTTTTTAATTTAAAAAAATTCTTCTTTCATGCTTGCTACAGTACACATTTTATCTATTTTAAAACCAAATACTTTTATGCCACTCATTTATTGTGTTTCATTAACAAAATCATTTGTTCATTGACCTAATATAGATAAACTGTTTTTATAATATCTTCATTTTATTAACTATTGCCAATTTTTTTTTTTTTGCATAATAGCAATTACTAAATTTCGTACTTGAAAACTTTCATTTAGGTGGTAAAAAAGAGAAAAGAAGTGGTTGCTTAACAGAGCCTTCTCGTCACCAAGCATCAGGACAAGCCGAAAATGCATGCAGCTTACTAAAAACTCGAATAGCAAATGATTCAAGAGAAGTCTTGATGAGTCAATAGTTCTATATGTCATTTCTATTAGCCAGTGATAAGTCAGCTACAATGGACCTATGCTACATCTGAATTTCATTCTTATAAGATGGTTGATTGAAACTCAATGGTGTATATCAAATAAAATTCTTTAATAAAATTATTCATTGTTTTTTATTGTTAAGAACGCAAAAAATCTATTTAATCATTTTAAAATTTTAAATTCTATCCATATGTTTGATACATGGTTACATTTAATAAAATCTTAATAAAATGAATCAATAATACAATAAAAAAAACACAATTTATCACGTGCATTGCACGTGTTATCCAACTAGTGAATATAATGATATAAGTTTAGGATAATTCTATATTTTCTACTCTTTCCATTAATAATTTATTAACATGCAATTGTCTATTAATATATTATTAGACATTACTAATAATTAATATGAGAGTTTCACAATAACATTAGAAGTTTTAGGGACCAAGTTAGACAAACTTGAAATGGCATATAATATGATTAATTAACAATAATGATTAATTTAGTTTAGTTAAGATTAAAATATAATATTTAAAAATAGGGGTAATATAGTCCATAGAAAGTTTTTTCTACAACTTCCTCTTTTAAAGGGAGTATGATTCTAAGCGAAGTATATAATTTCATTTATAATTCAAAATCTTGAGACTTATTCAAAATATGATGCTTAAAATTTTCCACATCTTCTGTACTATATAAATATAAGCTAAGCCTCTAGCCTCATATTATACGATATATATTATTTATCAAAAGAAGCACATACTATTGCTTGTGTTTAACAAGGGCTTCAAATCTTTATAGTTTTAATTAAACATAAATAGCTTACAACTTACGAAAGTTACACGCATATACCTCCACTTATATCTTAATGCACTTAGATCTTCTAATATTTTCTAAAATTGGATGTTTGTACTTATGTACGTAAGAATACTCTTTATAATTTTCCTATGTGAGTGCCACGATATAATTTTAGGACAATTCTATATTTTGTACTCATTCCAAAATAATTTATTAACTTGCAATTGTCTATCAATATAGTATTATGCATTATTAATAATTAATATGAGAGTTTTACAATAACATTAGAAGTTTTAGGGCCAAGTTAGACAAAATTGAAGTGGCATGTAATATGATTAATTAATAATGATAATTAATTTAGTTAATTTATGATTAGAATATAATATCAAAAAAGAATAGGGGTAATATAGTCCATAAAAAGTTTTTCCATAACTCCCTCTTTTAAAGGGAGTATGATTTTTCTAAATTACTCCGACACTACAAGATATAGAAGTGTAGTGTGAGCTATCTTAATGAGTCATCAATTTTTTAAAAAAATTAAAAAACAAACCGGATCATATACTTGCACTTTTTTCTTTCATACTGTAGAATTAATTTGAGTAGACCAGTCCAATTTATCACTACTCAAATAATAAGTGGTTTTGCTTCCAAATCTTTCCTCTTTAGATAATTTATCTGTACACTATTTATAAGGTATTATTTACCTTTGATGTTTATAAATAAACACTTGGCGAATCATTAGGGAAAATGAAAAGTTCATGGGAGCAGCCCAAATAGGAAAGCTGAAGAATACAATAAGTAAACCATATACTCTCTTTAAAAGTACGAGTTAGGAAAAATCTTTATATGGTCAATATTACCCATAACTTTTTTAAAATATTATATAGTTATCTTATTTTATTCTAATTTTTCTATATTCTTTGAATTTATAATTAAATAATTTATCCTATCCATAATGAGACTTTACATGTTATTGGATAAAGGTGATATGTTTGATATAATTCAAATCTTTAACTTATTTTAGTTTGCATAGAAATCTAAAAAATATATGCTAGCCAACACCTAAAAGTTTTTTGACCTTGTAAAAAAATACCCTCTAAGTTTTAAAATTGCAAAAAATACCTCCTATAAATTCAAAACTTTATTTAAAAATTATAAATTTTACTTATTTTAATTCAGTGAGAAATCTGAAAAATATATGCTAGCTAAAAATCAAAGTTTTTGACATTAGAAAAAGTATCTTGTAAGTTTTAAAAAATACAAAAAACTACTAAAATTCAAAATTTGTAAAAAATTCCTTAAAAATTTCAAACCTATAAACACACTAAAAACCTACAAATAACACAAACAACCCACAAATATTTATGGAATTTATAATAAACACTCTAAACTTTTTACAAATTGCAAGATAAAACCCTCAAGATTATAAAATTTATAAAAATCTGGATAATTTCCAACCTAACAGTACATTGGAAATATGTGAGTTATAAATATCCCCTACATAATTTATAATTTATAAAAAACACCCTTAAAGTTTCAAAAATTATAAACAAACACTTAAAATTCAAATTTTATAAAAATACCCTAAGAATTCCAAACTCATTAGTAAATTAAAAACATAGAAATTATAAATAGTCTATAAACAATTTACAATCTATAGAAAAGACCTATAAGTTTAAAAAAAAATACAAAAAATCCCTAATATTCATAATTTACAAAAAACACCATGAGAATTTCTAACCTATAGACACTAAAATTAATATACAAAATTACTAGCAACCCCTAAAAAATAAAAAATTTACAAAAAAAATATAATACTCCCTTTAAAAATATAGTTTTAGGAAAAACTTTTCATAGTTAATATTACCCATATTTTTTTAAAAAAGAACATAACTACTTAAAAATCTATTAGATTTGAAATTTACAAAAAAAAACAAATTTAAAGTTTAATACATTGTAAATTACCCCTCTAAAATTTGAAAATTTTCAATGATTTTTTGTAGTTCCTTGATTTTAATGTAATTTTTAATAGTTTTGTATATTTGTAAATTATAAAAGTTTAGGTTGTTTATTTGACCATTTTAAAAACTTTTGAGGGTATTTCTTTTGTAGTTTAATTTTCATTGTGTTTTTAGTGTAATGCATAGATACATCAATTAATGATGATATTGAAGAGTAAGTTGTTCTTAAGATGTTTTAGGCTATAGTTAAGTATGCACATCATTATTACTAGGCAATATAGCTTATACATGCAAAAAATTTCAAACAATCTATATAGTGGCTAAAAAGTTTTTAACTTTAATGTATTATTTTTTATAAATTATATTTAATGTGAACCCACCATATAATTTTAATTGTGGTCATTATAATTTTAATTGATTGACTATATATGTATATAGACCATAAATTACTTTACTTTCTCGCACGAACTAATCTTTGACACTAAATAGTTTAAATTATTACTTTTAAATTACATTTATTTATTTACCTACAGGATAATATAATTTCAATTCCTATTTTTTTCTTGAGATTTATTTTATAGTTTCGCGTATCAAATTAGTAACTAAAAAATAATTATTTATGTTTAAATTAGAATGATTGTAATTGATCACTCACTATGAAATTTTTATAAAGATATATATCTTACTTTCTATAGCTCTTTGCACCGCCCTTGTATATTTTATCAATTAGTTGTTAATTTGACATATTATATTACTTTTTCTTTGTAGAAATTTCTTCTTTGACTTTTGTATTATGTAATCACTATGTCACCATTCTAGCGTAGACAGAACCTCATTCTAAATAACTTCAAACTAATGTTTGAGTTGAACTGAAGTATATACTATTGCTACTATATGTATATATTTTTTAAGAAAATCATGTATATACTTTTTAAATAGAAAAGAATATTCTAACCTCTGATATTATAAAAATAAAATAGAGTCAATTGAGTGACTAGCAAAAGAGGACTTACATTAGAAAATTGTGAATAATAAGATAAAGAGGAAAAGTAATGACATTGCCAATAGTATTATCAATAGCATACTATAACTGTCGGATTGCTGACTTCAGTGAATTCTTCCTCTGATTGCATCACCGGGACGCCTTCACCGTGATGACTCCAAAATACATAAGAGCTATCAAATCCATTGATTGACAGATGAAAACTTACGTCACTCCTAGCAAGCATTTTACCGTTCCTGCAATTCTTACAAGGACAGAAAATCGACCCGCTTAGCGACCGTAGAGGATTTTTGTCAGAGTAGGCTAAGAAAGCTTCTATCCCATCCTTGTACCGGGTGTCTAGATGTCTTCGATCACGTGGTATGCTCATGAACGATTTGTCAGGAACTGTCCGCATCTATAATTTAAAAATTAATGGAAGTCAGCATATCCCGACATATATCATTTTAATTTAGGGATGTAAACGTGTGTTCAGAGGACCGCATGTGTGACCGGCTGTCAGAGGAAGGCTTCTATCCCATTAGGTATGTAAACGTGACGTGTATATGTATTTACGTGTGTTCAAGTGTACTTTCAATTCGTCAAAATTTCGGCAGCACCTACCCGCTGTTCTCCGAGTACACTATAATGGGAAGGATATACTCATGCATATCCCTCCGCAATTTGTACACGGAGAACAACGAGTAAGCGCCGCCAAAACTCTGACGAAAAGAAAGTACAAAAGAACACAAGTAAATACATATACACGCGATGTTTACTTACCTAACCCGTCCAAACTGGACAGATCCAATAAATATTTATATATAAGCCCCCTCTCACATACGCGTACAAAAAAGTTATCGGACCGAACAAGATGGCCTCGTATCCGCCAACGATCCTGTACGTGTATGTGACAAGTAAATAAAGAGATTATATATAGTATTTATTGGACGGGGTATTCTACGGCTCGAAAATATGAGTGTACAGTGTGTGCAATTTCTATGTAATTAGCGATATAATAGTTACGCTAACCCATTATCGATCCTCACCCCCACCCTCACCCTCACCCTCAACCTAACCCTAACCCAACCCTAACCCTAACCTCAACCTCAACCTCACCATCACCCCCACACTCACCCTCACCCTCACCTAAAAAGCCTTAATACAACTCTAGAGTTCTGTAGTATTGTCTACTTAATGGACCTTGACTTTTGTGATAAAATATATTTCATCCCATGAATTAGGCAAACTGGTATTATATGTCAAACCATGATTTAGCAGATATACAACTTTCTATCATTTAACTTTGGCATTTTTAAATTTATTCAGTTAGTGATTTTACAAATGTTGTTAAATCATAGACACTTCACAAAGCCTAATGTAATTCTTCATTAGACTAGTGGAAAGGTTAGGTCCTTTAAGTTTTCTGCTATGTTACAGAATAAGTATGGTAAAGTGGTAAGAGTACCTCATTATATGTCAGGTTCTAGTTCGTAAAGATAAGCTTTCCAACTTATATGAGCCATATAATTTACATATCAATCGTGCAAAGTACATCAACAAAGTGTTAAACTATACTAAGTTTTACAGAACCTGACATAGGAAGCTGAGCATAATTATACTAACTACAACATATAAATAATTCTTGGTTCAATAGTCTGAAAGGAAAGTTGAACTACTCCCAAAATTAAAAACTGTCTATAACAATTAGTAACAATATACCAATACCTTTGACAAGTCACTAAGCCACTCCCCACCGACCCCAATAACAGCTTGTACGCCTTGAGCTAATCTTATTGCACCCCTAGGTCCTGTCTTTATTGACGTCTGAATAATGTCTTCCACCAGCTTCGGTAAGTCGCCAATGCTGTCTGGAGCCAAATTATAAGTGAATTTCATCAATTTAATCACAAAGCATTTATGGCTTCTTATTCTCCATTAGTTTAATGTTGTTATGAAAGATAACACTTTCAGGAACAAAGAGAGGTTTTACTTACCAACTCTAAAATGCGCGCTAACAGCCCTCTCAAATCTTCTTCTTCTTTACCCGAGGGAAAAACTGTGCACTGTCCACAAAGTAAAATATGAAATACTTTAAACAATGTCAGCATATATATGAAACTGCTTACGATAACATAGTAAGAAGTTATTGCCAGAAACTCAACAAATTGATGACGTGAGTAACAAAAAAAATGATGCCAAAGCTACGATCAAGAAAATATAGCAATTAGGAAATTTTCTTATACCCACACTACATATATGATATATAGATGCATATGTAAATACATAAATATGTGTTTCCAGATGACAGCACTCTCACATTACAATTTTGCACCCCTTATACTTTCAAGCCTCCTACCATGAGGAAACTCTCAATTCTAGGACATTACACTACAAGTACTCTAGGATCATATCCAACTAGCCCAACAGTGGATGAAGAAACTTGGAAATGACAAATGCACTAACTGCGTGTTTTTTTCCCAAATGTTCTGACCCTACTATAAAAAGAGAAAATATCTTCTGTCCCAGGGCAGGGAATACACAAACTCTTTTATCACCTCTTTATTTCCTCTTCAGATATTCTCCTCTAGAGCTCATCCCCTCTCAGATATGTCTCTCCTTTTAAGATCTTGCCTACATTTGCCTCCATGTTGCTAGCCTAACTTGTAAAGGTTTTCATCATTATTTTGTAACTTTTTAAGCTTTCGTATAGTACGTCAGTAGCCTATTACACATTTCCTTCTCTTTTCTCTCGATTCCAATAGAAAACTTTTGTTGTGTTCTGGTTTGCAATGAGAGCAAATAACTATTCCTCTAGCTCAAATACTCATCCTGATGCGAGAGTTCATAACAAGATACAAACTAAACCCTTGTGTGATTCTAACATGCTCTCAAATAGATTAAAATTTGACATTCTTCTTCAAATACGGAGTTCCCTCTTATGAAAGGGGGGAAATGCAGCTAATAATATAGCAGGTCAACGCCAACCAGCAACTATATCTGAAAAAGAAAGAAGCTAAATCGTAACAATATAGTAACCCCAAGATCTTGAAATTAGCAAGTAAGATCAATATTTCAAACGCATTCCAAGAATCAACATTAAACTTAAACGATTTGACTTTCAAACATCTGAACACAAGCATATCATAATTTCAAGAAAGAAATATATTAAAAAAATCATCAATCGCAGTGCCATATTATTCGGATCAAAAGAAATTACCCTCGGCGGCAGTCTCCTGAACCTCGGAGATCACCGAGCCACGGCGATCGGGCTTCGGATCCGTCGAACCTGCCACCGCTGATCGAACCTTCTGGAAACGGCGAGAAACGCTAAGTCCTGTGAATAGGGGAAGAGATCTCTCACCGAAACCTAGTTCGCCGCCGCGGATCGAGAGGGAGGATCGAGGAGAGGAGGCGATCGCGAGGTTGGGGTGAAAGCGGGGGAGAGCTAGGGTTTCGAGAGCGGGTGACGCCGTTGCAAGAGGGGAGATTGAGGAGGAGGACGAAGGCTCTGAGAGATCTTGAGCAGCGCGATCGATGAAAACGATGATCTCGGTTAGAGAAGCGACGGTATTTCCGTCGCTAAAGATTTTTTAGCGACGGAAATTCCGTCGCTAAAACTAATTTAGCGACGAAAAAAAATTCGTCGTAAAATATTTTAGCGACGGACAATTTCCGTCGCTAAATGGCTATAATTCCGTCGCTATAAGTGATTTAGCGATGGATAAATAGCGACGGACTTATCCGTCGCTATAAGTTGACTTATAGCGACGAAAAATTCCGTCGCTATTTTTCCGTAGGTAAAATCTCATTTTCTACTAGTGCTATAAGCATCGATGTTTCCATATATATACTTTATAATTTATTAAAAAGGGTATATAATCTTATATAATAAAATTAATTTAATACTGAATAGTAATATCATTGTAAATGAGCAATTACAAAGATGTTAGGGACTGACATGTATATATTTAAGATTTCACGACGAATATCTTAATAACCTATTTATATAAGCACACCCATTTTGTCATCTATTCTGTTCACTTTTCTCCTCGCTCATTCTCCACCAATTTTGCTGTCACGCTCGAAGAGAAATATAATTCATGTCGGTGAGGTCTTCTCTCCCTCTATCCCTTGATCTCATATTTTTTTAATTAGTTTCTTTAATTCTCTTTTAATAATTCCTTGGATCCATTTCATGCTTCATTCTGTGAAGTGTATGTTAGATTTAATTTAAATATATTTTTATTTTAATTGTTATTTTTTCCTATTTATGGGTCGATTAATCACCAGAATGTTTAGGTCTTTTCGCCCATTTCATATTTTGAATTAACAGTTTATTTTAGGAGAATTTTTAAAAAGATCATTTTTTAAAAATATTAGCAAAATCGACTGTTTTACATAATAATTAACAAAAATGACTTATTTTTTGCCACACCATCAAGACTGGCAGCAAAGAGGTCAATTTTGTATAAAAATTATTTTTAAAATACACGGGACTAATAGTCCCGTGTAATTAGATAACATTAATTATAAAAGTAATTATAGTCAAAAAATACACAGGACTACTACTCTTGCGTATTTTGCAGTCAGAACCAGAAAATACATGAGACTGCGGTATATGTCCTATATACAATATAATTGCTCCAGGTAAGTAAGTTATAATAGCATTTTTCATTCACATTGTTTGGGGTAAGATTTGATAGGGACCTTGCATCAAAGAGATTTTTTATATTTAAAGTACATGACAAAATATATCATAATCTCCATGCTCTAATTTTGCAAGAAAATAATTCTTCATATTTTTAGTTTTACTTCTATGGTACGGAGAATGAACTATAAAATTGAATTAGAATATTAGATAACGTAAATATGAGTGAAACCACAACTAAAAGTTAATGTGAATATGAGTCAAACAACAACTAAAAGTTTAATGGACATATTGCAAATATATTCACATGAAAAATTCTTTTGCGAATTGAATGATCACCCATCTTTTAAAGACTTCAAGATTTCTAATAAACAAAGATATTGTACTAGATCAATGTGTTTATAACTCACAAATAGTAGATCACGTGGTGACAGTCTGGGTTGAAGGAAATAATGACAATATTTCATTTGAAAGTGAGATTATTGTGTTGATAATCAATCCCGCAAAAAACTTTATTTTTTTTTATTTTTATTCTATTTTTATCAATTTAAATAACCATGATATTCAACCACGTGGATTGCACTTGCAATCTAACTAGTGTTCCACAAATAAGTGACTTGATCCTGTTTTCCTCTTCTTTGGTTTTGCACCGAAAAAATTGTACTATCTCTTCGATGATCAAATTTCTTGAGAATGACGCAAAGTTTCCTTTTTACATTTTTTTTTTCATAGAGCGAGAACCATAGTCACCGTCTGTTGCCACTGAGAGAGAACTTCTCACCGGAAGCGGTTCCAGTGCAGAAATTGGATGAAGACTGATGAATCAACGACACAAGATACATTATATAATGGAACCAGGCTATTAGATTATGAGCTCAGAAAATAACAACACTTGAAATTAATTAAAAAAACTGAAATAAAGAAAAATAATATAGAATGACCCAAACAATGAGCAAGATGCCATAAAATCAGAGACACTAAAAAAAATGCACGGCTAAACCTTAAGCTCTTATTGTTCAACTTTCACAGTTTCAGAACCAGTATTATTGTCTCCCTTCCGTACTAAAAAACTAAATTTCTTATCCAGTCATCATGTTTGCAGCAGCAGAATCACAGCAAACATCTGTACAGCTGTTGTCAACCCCCAAAAAACGAAAGAATTTCCTTGCAATACTCCTACCAAAAAAAAAAAAAAAACTTCTTATTTATTTATTTAGCTTGACTGCTTTATTGGCTGAGGACTTGAGACCTTGGCACCAGGAATAATATTTTCTTCAGCGAACAGCCTTATGAGCTTTCTCTTTGGCCGTGAAGTCGCTCAGGACACGATATTCTTCACTCAGAAGTCTCTCCAACTCGGGATTCTTCTTCAAAGGCGGGTCGGTTTCATCCCGGTAATGGTGCAGAGCCCTACATATGACAACAACAATAAGAGTAACAAAGTTTGATGATGCACACTGAATATGTTTCCAAAAGGTTATTATAGTCTACTATCATATTCTGCATGCAGAGGAAGGATATCCAGTCTGGCCCTTCAAAGTAGTTTGGCCCATTTTGAGATAACACCCAAAAGGTTGGAAACATCACACTACCCCAATACCTTTCCAGGTAAACCCAAAATGTTGGGGGTAATCTGAAAATTGCAAAGCTTTGAGGGGATCAAGTGCATTGCAACCTTTTTGGGGGGTTATCTCAAAATAAGTCCATTGGGTTTTGTAAAATTTACCATAAACTGAATTAGCAAGGATTATTTTGGGGTTTGCGTGCGTTGGGAGAAATTGAGGGTTTATGTGTTAGTGGTAGATATGCAATGGTTAAAGTTTATGCAGTTTCAGATACCTGACAGGGAAACCATGGAAATTGAGGCTCTTTGAAAATACACAAGTGGTAGCAGCTCATAGCAGTAAGTTGTCGGGTGGCGACAACCTTCTGAATAAAGTTATTGATATCTTTTGAAAGTTACTAGCAGATTCAATTTATGAAAATATAGAACCTCAAAGGGCAGCTTACCTTTCATTCCAAATCCTCGACAAATGAACTACCTTAACTGGCTAAATAAAGTTTGGAATGTTAAGGTGGAAAGGAAAAAAGAAAGATGATGAGATGATCATAAAACCAAATGGGAAGATTTGCTAGACTTTTAAGTGTCACATATTCACTTAAAGATATGTGAATAAACTAACTTCTATCTGTGACCACAATGCAAACAAGAGAATTTTAACGAGTCTTGGTACCTTACTGCTTATAAAATCCCAGAAGAACTCACAATGCTTAAAGGTTTAAAAGCTATGACTTAAAATAAAAGCCGAAACTCGCAGTTAAGGTAGTTCATGTGTGGAATAAAGGGTAGTAGATTTGTGAGACGATTTTTTAATACTCTGAAGAATAATTGACAAGCAACAAAGTTATTTTAATTTTTTTTTAAAGTTACTTTTTAACCTTGATGAACTGCCCAACAGGCAAAAGATAATTAACTTAACATCAACACAAGAACAATACCAGTATTTCTCAAGACCATAAAGATTTCCCTTATGGTAGAATTCAAGCGTCAGCTTCTCAAAATCGTCATAAAGATGTTCTATGAATTGTGTCTCCAAAGCATAACTGTAAACAAAAAAAAAAAAAAATGAAACAAATCAGCATACATATGAAGCAAGTGACATATCATGGTGATTACGGCATCTTTTCCAGGGGATCAAATTGGAACTTGAGGGAGATACCTGTAGAACCTGAAGAGACACTCAATACCATAGTCACACTTAGCAGCTTCATCTTCCAGGGCTAGTTTTTTGAACTCTTCATACATGTGTGGCTTAAATTCAGTTCTGAGGAAATATGACCAAAATCGATAGAGTTCGTTCATTTTCTGCAAATAACAAATCAACATTAAATACGATACAAACAAGGAGACTGTGTGCTTGTCCTGAGAATGATAACACATTAACCAGTAGCTTTAAGTAGGAAACAAATCAAAGAACAATGATGAACCAGGACTAGTAATGCTCTAAAGGAATTAAACGCAGGATGTTGACACAATCAAAGAGCATCCATAAAATAATAGAACAGGAAGGATAAGAAATTAAAGCACACTGGAACAATGATAAATTTTCTGGAATTACTGACTAAAAGCAAAGATGTCTGAAAAATTCTCAGAGCAAAATATCGTGAGATAGACCATGCCGTTAAAAGATGATCGTAGTTGCTGTAAGAGTGCCCAGAAAAAATTTCTGAAATTGGAGATCTAGGATATAAAGTATGCAATTAATTATTACGAAGATTTAAAATTTGCTCACAATAATGCCATACCTCGCTGCAACCAATTCCACAGTTCTTTCGATCACTAAGACACCTCTTGCGAAACTTATCATACCTAAATCAAATAACAACAGAACACATCATCAAAAGGATGTTGCAGCACAAAGAGGGAGATGGGATGTGTGTAATTATCATGACTAATTTCTGGCAAGTGTGTGCATGTGCATGCATTTGCGCATGTGTTTGTATATGTGTATAATAGACAGAGAGCTGTACTTCTCCTGCTTAAACTCAATTGTTTCCAACAGCTTGAGGCTAGGATGCTGAAATTGTGTTAAAGATTTTGGCAAATATCCCACAGGTGGACTGCTTCCAGAAAAAAATCCATCAGGCAAAACACTCGACTTTGACAATGTAGGACTGCAAAAATAAAGAATACAATGGATCAAACAAAATAAAACATATTGGAGACCAAAAAAAAAAGAAAAGAAAGAAAAGAACAGAAAAACAACAACTACAACTGCAGGTACAGAATTTTAAATCAGAACTAAAATATGAGCGCACCCATCACTCTCAGCATGTGCTGACCCAAAGAAAGAGCCAAGTGGTGGGCTTTGTGACGCAGCTCCCTGATCATTGTGACTGCTGTTGTGATTCCTAGTATTACTTTGGAAAAATTGCTGATTACTTGAAGAACTTGATTTATTATTGCCTTTGGTTTGCTGTCTCAGACTATGAGAATGACCCAAGTCATCAGTTCCACTGATGTTCACCTTATAATTCAGAGAAGGATTTCCATGGGCGGAGGATTTGGAATCTCCTACTTTGGTCCCAGAATTATGTCTTTGATTTCCAGAATGCTTGGCACGCAACTGTTGCAAGACACAAGGGCATAAATATAGTTCCAGAAACCATAATAGTCAGACGAGGGATAGATGTTAGGAAAGAAACTGAGAAAGAAATAAAGCATATATGCAATTATGCAATATTAAACATTACGCATTACACAAATCACTGAGCTAAAGCTTGAATCTGGTATAAAGCATTTATAAGCACCTTCCCTATTGACTATTCGACCATTGTACTTATCTCCATGCTGCAGAATGATAAGAGAGAGTCAAGCAGGAAAACTGCATAACCAAAATCAAAATATGCCAATAGAGACTGCAAGCAGAAATGAAGTGACAAGTATAAAACACTTCTCCAGGGAAAAATCTGCAATAACCTGTCTTCTTTGGTTTGACCAACCAATGTTCATTTGGTATTTATAGCCCTAGCCTCACCTTCAACTACAATGCTATAGACACTGAGGCTAGTTCACCGATTTAGCTGGGGTGGGACTATGAGAGATCATATGAAATAAAATATACCCGAAAAAGAAAAGAAAGATTCAACCCTATGACTCCTAACTGGTAAACTAACTGCTTACTGTGCACATGTCTAAACCAGAAAGGATTGTGCATTTTCTTATCCTTGAAATGAAAGCTACCACTAACTCCAATCATATACAAACGTCTGTCGTCCTATCTTTTAGACTGTTGACTCTCATCCATCTCAATTCAGCTTCACCTATTTTTTTGTACATACTGCTTAATTTCTGATTTTTGCATGTTGTATCCATAAAGCATCGTGAGTTTTCTAGCTGTATTCCAAACTTTTCCTTGCAAAGTCATTGGAACTATTTGCTCACATACAGTATTCTATAAAAAAATGTTCCAGTTCAACTTCCTTTCCTTAGGAGTCTTGACATCAAGGAAAATTGTTATAATTAAACAAAGATTAGTTTAATGCATGTCTAGGCTTTGGAGATAAACTTTTCTTTCATTTCTTTTTGTTCTTCTATTAAAGTCGCATTTGATTGTTACTAATTTATGTTTCAGATGTTAAGCATCTCTCTAGATTTCTACTTTCGAAATTGTTGCCTGACCATTCTGCCAAATACTGATCAATATCAGAAAATGAGATATCTCATATTTGGTACTAAGGTTTGTAAATTCAATCATGACAAGAAAAGAGCCTTGATGTCATCAATAGTGGTTGGTAATGAATCCATCACCCTGGCATCATTCTCATGCTAATTGATGTCCTTATTTACATTAATTTACCTGTTAGACAAAAAAAGATCCCTTCATAGAGACCACCTTACTAGCAAAAAAACATTAGGATGCTAACTCAAAACATATTTTAAAAAATATGACAAAGAGAACCTCAGCGATATCAAATTTGCAATAACTCATTAAAATCGTATGAACTTGAGATTAAAACCTAACGAACCAAAGCAGGATACACTTCTTGTCAACACATAAATAGAAAGCCCCAAGCAAATTTCAAACTGATAGCCCAATGCACACAAAAAGTACACGCACACACAAACATGCGCACACATGTACGCAAAAAACGCATGCTCCCCACCCACCTACACGCACACACGTATGCACACCAAAGTATTCACACATGTGCATGCACAAGAATACATGAAGTCATATATGCATCATCCATTACTTAACATATGCGTACACACATGAATACATGAAGTCATATGCATTGTTCATCACTTGCATCAGATGAATGCAATGATAACAAACGATCCTATATCTGATCCTGGCTGGAATTTGATTTGATACCATGTTTGCTTTAGTCTCAATGTTATAGGGGGTTATTTGCAACTAGATAAGAATTAGCAGGATTTCAATAAATTCTGAAAATACATTTCGAAGTATAATTAAATTCATTAGGAGTCGTTGAAGAGTATAGGTTTAGAAATATTGCACATTTGGAAGTTTAACTCTCAGAATCAACGAAAAAACTAAAGAAATGAAGATGAATTTCAACATATGAAAATAAATACTGCAACAAAACAATTGCCTTGAGAAACTCTGATCCAAGAAAAGGTACCTAGTTAGAGATAAGACTTATATTTAAATAAAACTCCAACTTATTAAACTATCAAATTCAAATAGGACTCTTCTAATCCAACCTCAAACATTGAGTTTGACCTTAAAAAAATGAACTTATTAACAGTTCTACCCCCAAAAGCAGCTACCCAAATCAAATCAACCAGACCTATTTATACTACTGTAATTGCTTAATTTTAAACAAGGCCTTGTCTTTTTTTTAGGCGGGCTGCATGCTGCATGGTCCACTTGAAATTGGGCCGTATATAATAGACTTCTATCAAATGCAGCGCTCTGTATCAGTTAATTTATGCTTTGAGTGTGAATTAAACATAAAATGCAAAGAAAAGAGTTACTTGACCATTGCTGTCTGGTGTCCACTAAATTCAGTGTCCACATGAGCGAAACATCACCTTTCTATACATGTTTTCCTGGTTCAAAATTAGCTTAGTCATCGCTGTTTGATTTAGGAGCATACTTGTCTTTTCCCCATGCAAAACCTATTAAAGGGCAATTAGTAATAAATAAATTGCATACTTTTGTTCGTGATGCGGTGTATAGGAATGCAATATGCCACTTCATGTGGCATGCTGTACAAGTCAATAGACTTAGTCGAATTGGTATCTAGGACTCTAATGCTTAGAGAGTATTTCTAGGGAAACTTCTCTAAAATAGGCAAATTTTGGGCTCCTACGCATGTATTATCTGGTGCAAAGTGGATAGAGAAGAGATGCGCACAACACATACTTTTGATGACACATACCATGAGCTCCTCAAAGCGTATGGCACATGGAAAACTTGTGGTACATCTGAAGAATTTAAGACGTTCACAATAATGGATAATAATAATAATAGCACTTCAGTTTTTAAGAAAAATGAAATAAAACTACTGTAATTTAAAAAGCAATCTCAAAACTATGAGCTTTATAAATTTGGAAATGAAGTTAATTAAGAAAGGCCAGGTATTAACCCAAAATAAAACAAAAGAGATCATGGAATCAGTTAACCACTTAGCTTTCTTTTTTTCTCGAGTCGATTTGGCCTACCTTGCACCAGACATATGCACTGTTGCCTGTACGGCTATGGGACACGGAAAATCTGTGTAGAGTACGGGAGACGGCTACTATATGTGCGCTCGCGCGTGTTTTGTGTGTGTGTAGTGCGCGCGCGTGCGAGTGGAGCATGTGTGCTTGATGAAATTAATAATTTACAAGATATCAAAAAAATTTCAATTCATATGCTATGAGAATTAAAATCCCTAAACATTTTTAGACTCTATATACGTAGATTGTTTCTATTATATGTAGATTATGAATTAGAAAATATTTTATCTTTAAAATGACACCCAAAAGACCCCTCAAATTATGATTATGAACTAAACACGTGATAAAACAAACCAGACCTGTTCCAATGGTTTTAAGAAGTGGATGTGCGAAATGTAGGCTATAAGTCCAAGAGGTGTATAGCAGGTGTTGGACATTGCATGTATTATATACTTGAATACATGTCTAAATAATTGTATGCATACATCCACGGAGTGTCCAAACTAAATGCCGGTGTCTAGTATGGGTACAGGTATGGAATCATAATAGAAGTAACCATGCAACATAGGGTGTTGACAATAAAAATAATGAATGTACCATGAACCTTTATGCAGTAAGAAGTGCAAGGAGGTGGACTGTATTAAGTAACGACAGGCTACGACCAACAGTTTGAACTTATAAGATAATGAGTAATGATTGCTCTTGTTTCTGCCTTCCTCCCTTTCTCTTTCATGTTTTATATAGAGCAATTATAATTTCCACAAATGGGAACTTAGTTCCTTCTACTAATGACCCTCTTTGTAATTTCAATAGTGGCCTTTATTCTTTTGGAGCATTGATGAACCTACCTGGATACAAGACATCATCATGTATTTCTAAATTGCTACTGAATAAGACACGAAGAGAAACTGCACTTCTACAAATAAGACAAGTAATGGAAAAACACATTAAGAGAAATAAAACAAGATGTTATCAATAACTAAAGGGGAAAGCTTATTTCACTGGTAATGGAACAAGGAAGTTTAATCTTGAGTCAGTCACATGAATTCATAGTGTCCAATCCTACATCTTATAATCAACGAGAAATAATTCTACATAAAGATGAAAAGTCATTACCTGCTCAAAAAATAAAAGAGCCTCATCAACGATAGAAGCTTCCTCGTTTGAAATTGACTCTTTTTCTAGGCCAGATCTATCATTTTCATCTATCCTTGATTCCTGTATATCATTTAAATAGAATGAAAATTTAGAAATTATTCATAACTGCAGAAAAACTGATGTCTATGCAGATTTTGCAAGAATCATGCCCTTAAATTGTGAAATCATCTGACACATGTCCTAAAAGCAATGATATCACTAGTGGGCATATCTTTCTAACATTTAGACCACTAAATGCAACCAAAACAAACTGAGTTATAGGAACGCGACAACAACTGGACAAAAAAATGAAACTAATTTTTCTGAATAAAAAGGGAAAGGCATATAAAATTTGCAAAACAACCTTTATATTAATCATGTATAACAAACACAGTTATTAACTCACAGTAATGCTCATTGCTCATTAAGCCGAATATCAGAGTGAACAAATATACCTCATGATCTGTAGACTGTAGTTGATTTTATTATTAAATTAATATATAATAAGCTAAAGAAGCTGAAAAGATGTTAAAAAAACTACAAAGTTGAACAGGATTTCGTGGCATATTAGGTGTGAGGCTATTTAAGTAATAAACTATAAACCTTACAGAGAGAAGTCCTTACATATTTACCCATCATAAACACAGGACATGATTACAAGCAGCTGCCTACTAACCATGTTGGTTTAAGCACACATACAACCGGGGTATCAATTATTAATTCGCTAGCATGATTTTCTTCAGAAGAACTAGTATGCAGCAATTACGTCCATATTCTCCGTATCTTAGATATGACATTAAGGTGGTACCACTCTGACTTTGACCTTTTAAATATTTATTCATTGAGCATGTTCAAAATCTCGTTGAATAGTGAATGGTGCTTGGAAAATGATATAGATTGAGATGGTCCTAATCAAATAAAAGCATGGAAAAGAAAAACCTCTTGCATCTAAATCAGTACGAATTAGTAGAATAAAGATAAAACATATGGAATATATTTTTGCAGAAACAGTAGAGTATAATATTATGGCGAAGAAGTGACCCCATAGCTCCATAAGGAGAGAAGAAAGAGGAGATTGCTAAGTGAACTATATTGAATCATAGCAACAGAAACAGAACTGCTTAGAGCTTATATATCAGTTAAAAGATACGGTAAAACCCTCAATCTCAAGTACAATTAATGAAGTATATCTAAACAGAAAAGTAAAGAAGATACGAGTGGTGGTATCATTGTCAGCTATTTGTCCTATGTACTTGTATCTTAGCTCATTTGAAGAAAAACAAAACAAAAGCGTAAGATTCAAAAACTAAAGTCCAGAGACATTCGGAAAACTGAAATTCGTGGAAAAATGAATATCTATATGATGGACAGTAATTATGTTTTCCTTATGAATGTTTATGATGTATGACTAATGAGAGCTAATCGGATGGAAAGTGTGTTCTTACAATATGAGAGAGAGAGAGAGAATACAAACATAAACCTAGGTATATAACAAATTAATAATTAACAAGAAAGAGAATACGTAACGAAAATATGGACGAGTATTAAGCTAAAAACATACATACAAAGCATCCATGAATGATGAACCAACAAGTCAAGTGAATGACCAATTAACCATACCAAATGTCGACAGTCAAATCATCAAAACAATATGACATTATGACTTAGTAACAGCTATAGGTAACTAATTCAAAAAAAGTCAATAACCAAGTGCCAGTGATACGTTAAAAGTTTGTGGGTCTCTTTTCACGCCTCAAAGCCCATCAATCATCCGCCCTAAAGCATATAAATGCCAAATAAACAATTAATGAAGGGCATACATGATCTTAGCCACATACATAATTGGCTGCAAAAAGCCACTTTTATGTGATCAATAGCTGCATGTTCAGTGTATATTGCTGATAAATATATGATTACGGGCAATGTACTGTTTCTGATTTATTAAAACCACTGTATGCACACGTGTCAGCTAGCAGCCTAGGACATGTTAAAAAGCTAAATGTCAACTATAAAAAGCTAAATGTCAACTATCAAAAGCTTCCAAAATGCCTCGTACTAGAGCATTCGCAATGATGAGAGGGGGTGGAGGAAAAAGCATGTCTTAACCAACCGCAAGTACCATAAAATGTGTATGTACCATGTACCCTCATCATCACACTAGTCTATTCCTTCTAGTGGGGCTAAGCATGAAAGGAGTCAAAAACACCTGACGAGCCAGAGTGTTGAACAAGCAAGAAAAAGCCAAATAAAGTAGTCATAAATGGAATAAGAATGTAGACAACTGGTGGGAATCTCAAACATGGCAAGAAATACATGTACAATGTCAATAAGTTAGATATAACCTCAAATAAGGATAATATGACGAACTCTAGATGGTATTGATATATGCACTACAAACCAATTAATGCACCAAGCCAAAGGAACTGCTGCAACTGCATTTGGAAGATCAGAATTGCCCCGAAACAAGCAGTCAAGAAAGGAATATAGTTATTAATTTGGGAGACAAACCATAATTTCAAGTTAATAAGGTGTGGGTATGATTAGGTAGATAAATGGAGACTAAGCACTAAAAGAACATGTATCTGATAAATAAATGAGGAAATGAAGCTTAGTTGAGCTAATTGGACAAAAGGATGCTTCTAGATGAGGTTCAGAATAGAGAATCCCTTGAGATGTTTCGATGTAGACAAAGTGAGAAAAACAATGAGAAAAACAATGTGCCAGATAGGAGAGGTAGGACCATACTTGACGACATTACTGGATCAATGATAGGCTTGGATTAAAATGGTAGAGAATGATCTGTCGTTGATAGGCTAGCTGAGACAAAGGCTTTAATTCAAAATAATTAAAGGTCATAAAATTCAAAAATAAATAAATCGTTATATCACATACTCGATTTAAAATGAGAATAAGATTTTTGTTCTTATTGTTAATTTTGCTGGCTTGCACACAATATGAGTATTACCATTGATGTGTTTGGTGATTTCTGCTCTATGAGAAATCTATATAATTCAATCATAATCAACAAGGCATGAGAGTCAATATTTTTGGAAAAGAAAAGAAGGAAAAATGATATAGTACAACAAGCCGAAGGCCGCAGATAAAAATTGTAGATAGACCCATATGATCAATTCCACATGACAACAAACTTCAGGAATAACATATATTGGAGAAGTGTTATTTATGCACCAAAGAAAATTAGCATTGCTTATAATTATGAGTAACCTTTAGAACTTGCCAGAGAAATATGGTATAAAAAATTATTTGAAAAAAGAGGAAGAATGAATGGAAGATAAAAGAAGAAATATAATGATATTCTTACCTGGCTAACATTAACAAGTTTTTGCAGATCTTGGTCATTGACATCCATCCCGTTGTCTTCGTTATCAATTCTGCTAAAAAATCAATTCATTTAAGAACAGAAGAAAGAACGCCAGAATCAAATAAACAATGACGAATAACTATACAAACTTTCCTAAAATATGATTTTTTTGGAATTAGATCATATAAGTGCTTCGTTTATGCCATCTTCAACTTTATAATTTTGATCGCAGCATTATACTTTACATCTAGATTTATATTTTGTCAGACATAAAAAAATTTACTTGCCTCTGCATATCTGCTAAAAAAATATTTATGTTTATGTGATTTTTTTATTTTTTATTTTGTTCTGTTTTTTATTTTTAAGTTTTAAAATAGTTGTTGCCTTTCATCACCAGGTAATTGCATTGGCTTTAAACCTCTGCCCTAATACAATAGATCGTATGCCCTATTTTAGTATTGCCTTTAACATTTAAAATTCTTCAATTAAAAAAGTGGAAAGAGGACAACTGAGTATCCTTCAAGAAAAACAGCAACAAACATCCAAAGAAAACATAAGCTCTCAGGAGAACATCAACTCAAGTTAGCTAAAAGACAATTGACTACTTAAAAAAAAAAAAACCAGGCATAAGGGGGAATGCAATTCAGATTATTCAAGATTTTAATTCTAAAAGAAACACTATAATAAAACATTCGAGGGTCATCCTTGAGATTTGTGAATAAACAAGGAGAAAATGCAATTTCAGAGCATCCAAGATTGTCATTAAATTGACTCACCACCCCCATATTCAAATTGTGTAATTAAGATAATTATAAAGTTATCCTATTTACATAGAATAAGAAATTGACTTTACCTGCTTGCAAAAAGCATGAAGAAGCATCCCGTGTCTTGAAATATTAAAGCTTTATAATATCTGCTTATATTGCATGTGCAAAAGAATTTGTTGGGAAACAAAAAGATGCAACTAACTACACGTTTGAAGGGAAAAGAATAGGACGGAGGCTCCTCCCGTACCCAGTCCTGGGCATTTAAATAATTGGGTTTTAAATTTAGAGTACTACTAGGTTTAAAATAAGGATCCTAAGGGTTTTAAAAGAATAAGACTTGCAGATAAGGATCCTAAGGGTTTTAAAATAAAATATTATCTTTTATCATATACTCAAGTATTTGGGCTCAAATAGAAGTTTGTTTAAATTCAGAGTACTACTAGGTTTAAGATTGGATAAATAGCACAAGTAATTGTTTCACTTATATTCAAAGATAAACACGTTTTTGGGTAGAGTTCTCTGAGATAAACACGTTTTTGGGTAGAGTTCTCTGAGTATATTAGAATTTCCTTAGTTTAGCTGAGTCATGCTTATCCTGACCTTGCAAAACTGACATTTAAAAAAAAAACATAGAAGAGAACTGTAATCTGTTTGAAACTCCCATGGAATTATCTGCCCCGTACATCTTTTATCTTTTATCTTTTAGAAAAAATCATAGAAGAGAACTGTAATTTCTGATCTAGGTTGAAATTTGAATGGAGATTTCTGAGCTGTGTTCCCATCATCAGTTCGGTTCATGCGTAACCTATCCTTATCCCCATCAAAAGATTATTGTAGAGAAATAGAAAATGCCAAGATTTATTGTTCATATAATCCTAACCTCTTTTAAATATAGATTAGGAGAATATTACAAAATGGTTATGAAATAAAATCATATCCAATCACGTCATAGTATCTCAATAATATCTCATCATATCTATTAAATCTACAAATACCAAATTATTGATAATATCTAAGTCTCCCCCTCAAGCTAGAGCATATCATATCATCATATACTTATATGTTGTAAAAGTGAAAAACACTTGAAAAGATAATGTTATAAAAGAAGAATGAATAATTAAAGCCAATAAGACAAGATGATTAATTAAAAGTGGGCTAGAATGAAACTAAAGAGAATATAAATTTTGTTGCTAATCACTGATAGACTTTAGAAAAAAATCATAAAATAAAAATTAATGCTAACTCTGTTACATTTTTATATGATAAAAGTATCCACATAACTATATAAAAAATTAAAAGAGTCCGTGAAAATCACTTCTAAAGATTCCTGATTTTACTCAAAAAATTAAGCTATTTTAAAAAATATTAAATAATTTAAAATTGTGTTGTATTTATAAAGAGCATTGATGAAGATGCTTTTGTTTTAGCAGCTTGTTCTGAATGAGCCATGCATATTAGCTTTAATGTGTAATATTTTTTTTTATCGTGTTATATGGATGTCTGCTTGGTTTGCTTATATATCTCTTATTTCTTTAATAAGTTGATATATTATTAACACAGTTTACTATGATATGCATATCTTTCATACAAATTTGAGACATGTATAAGATGAATTTTATATTTAGTGACCTTTAATAATAATTTTAGTTGTAAAATATGTTACCTTTATATTTAAAGATCTTGAAATTTGACAGTACTATTACATGCTTATCTTTGATCGTGTTCTTAAAATTTGATCTTTCATTGGTAGTCATATCCCTAAATAAGGATACTTGTAGAGTCGTGCCACTATATAGAGAAAAGAAAAATTTTAATTTTAATTTTTTTACTTACACTATGGTAACTAAGTATCATGTGCATATTTTTTGTCCATTATAGTGATTTTTCTCATCTTATCTAGTTTATTATATCTCGTAATATAGTTGATCAATGACTTCACTTTAGTTTCTATTACAAGATTATTTATATAAAATTTTATATTAAGTTTATGATTCCTTCAGTATTTTTAGAATAAAGTATGAAAATTTATAAGTACTTACTAGTTTTTCTTGTACTTTTCATGAATAATATTTTTTTAATTAGGATATAATTGTTCAATATGTTCTTCAAGAAGAACTCGGTTAGTGCTTCTTTGCTCGATATGCTTTTTATCAATGTCAATTCTGATGATTCATGAATTTTTCTGAATTTTGAGTTTATTTCCTTCACTTCTCCATTTGAAATGAAAACAATTTAGTTCTTTTAAAGGATATCTCTGAACTTTCTGATAGTTTTTCCATAAATAACTCCTTGTATTTTGTTTACTTTATAAATAAATATTATCAACATTAGAGATAAATATTTATACATTATAATCAATTAATGCTAACCTATTATATCTTAATGTAATAATATCAAAAAATTTCTCCTTTCTTTGCCAAATTTCAGTCTTTTGTGATTTAAACTTTTGAGGTGTGTTTTACAATTTTTAAACTTTGATAGTATTTTATGAAAATTTTAAATTTTAAGTTGGGCGCTTATAATTTTTATGGTTCGTGTATTGGTGATAAGTTTTTAAATGTTAGAACATTTCTCGTAACTCTGAAAATTTGAATGTATTTTTATAATTACTAAAATTTTGGGTTATTTTTTAAAAATTTTAAATTTTTAGCAATCTGTTGATAATTTTTAAATTTCATATGTACCAGTTATAAGTTATAAATTTTAGAGTTTTTAATAATTTTTTACTTTTTTAAGAGAGTTTTTGTAATTTTTGTACCTTTGAGGTTATTGTTTTTACTAATTTTAAATTTCTATGTGCCTAATGGTAATCCCTGAAATCCACCTATGTTGTTTCTAAGTTTTGAAATCTTTAAATTTTAGAATGTTTTTTTTTGTAATTTAAACATGGCTAAATGGTACTTATATTTTCAGGGTGTTTTTGTAAATTTTGAATTTTAAATTTTTTTTTGTAGTTTTTGAAACTTTAAGAGCGTTTTCTATAAATTATAAATTATGTAGGGGATATTTATAATATCTATACTTTTAATATTCTATTAGGTTAGAAATTATCAGGATTTTTATAAATTTTATAATTTTGAGGGTTTTATTTTTAATTTGTTAAAAGTTCAGATTGTGTATTACAATTTCCATAAATTTTTAGGGGTTGTTTGTGTTATTTGTAGGTTTTTAGTATGTTTAGAGGTTTGGAATTTTCAAGGTGTTTGTTATAAATTTAGTATTTTTAAGGGTATTTTTGTAATTTTTAAAACTTACAAGATATTTTCTCCAAAGTAAAAAAAAAACTTATAGTTTCTAGTTAGCATATGTTTTTCAGATTTTTCACTGAATTAAGATAAGTAAAATTTATAATTTTCAAGATGCTTTAATAAAATTTTGAATTTATAAGTGTGTTTTTGTAATTTAAAAAATTTAGAGAATATTTTTTACAAAGTCCAAAAAAATAGGTGCTGGTTAGCATATGTTTTTTAGATTTCTCTACGAATTAAAATAAGTAAATAATTTGAATTATATGAAACGTATTTATTTTATCCAATAACATGTTAAGTCTCATTACGGATAGAATAAATCATTTGGTTACCAATTCAAAAGAAGATAGGATAACTAGAATAGATTAGGATAATAATGTAATATTAAAAAAACTAAGGATAATATTGACCATAGAAAGATTTTCTCGAACTCGTACTTTTAAAAAAAATATGTATATATATATATATATCTTTAAAAGAGCGAGTTTGGGAAAAACTTTCTATGGACAAAAATACCCTTGACCAATTTAGATATTATGTTATTATCACATCTTATCCTGATTAATTTTAATTCGTATTTGTAGGAATAAGGTTCAATTATCCTATCCTATCCTAATCAATACGTAGATAAGCTTATATTTGATTTACATATGTTAAAGGTAGAATTTTGACAATCTAAATTTATATTTACTAGAGAAAAGAGACAAATATTTAAAATTTTAACAATCTAAATTTAATTTGGTACTAACAAGTAAAAAAATAAAACTCTTTATCTTATCATCTATTTATCTATATTTACATTAAAAATGAAGACTTTAAAATTTTAGCAATCTAAATATTAGAATTTGTTACCTAACAAGTAAAAAAATAGAGCTCTTTATGTTGTCGTTCGTTTTTTTATTTAAATTTAAAAATAAATAAAATAGATAATATTATGAAATATTCTCACTTGCTAAATTATTTTCATAATTAAGGAGATAAATGTCTATGTGAGTGACAAAGCTAGAAAATATCTAAAATCCTAGAATTTACACAACCAGTAGAAATGGCCAAATAAA